CAATTTATCTTCAAACTACAACTGAAAATGATGGATGATAATTAACAAGTGTGAGAGTGTGGCATTTTTCAAGTTATGAGAGGTGAGGTCGTTCATTCTTTGAAACTGTTTTATTTTATTTAACCATGAAGGCTGCAAAGGTTGTACATTCCAGTCATTGTTCACAAAAGCAGATTACTGTGATTAAAATCTGGACATTTAAAAAACAAAGATACAAAAACGGAAGAAAAAAATCAAAGGTTGTTCACCAAAATATCCTTGTATGCTTGAAAACAGAAATAAAACCCAGAAAGGGTGAGTAAAACAGAAAACTACAACCTCAATGGGTAGAAAATTGAGGTTGAATGAGAGGGAATCAGTCAATGTAAGCAATTAGATGGTTTCTATGTGATTTATTGATAAGAAGCCCTGACAATGTTCCATTATTGGACCAATATATCACAAACATGGGGTGTGGATTGAGAGATACCTGAGAGAAAATTCTCTTGAAAGGATTTTGTTTGACCTCAAACACACAAATAAGCACATACTATTTTAATTCCAGACCAACATGATCGTCATAAAGTGGCCAGCCCACCACCTTTGCTTTAAACTAGCTGTTTCTGCTGCAAAACCAAGACATGCCAGATAATTTGTGGAATGTTGTCCAATCATTATGAACAGGAAAACCTATGCACAGGTGTCAGACATTGGTTGATTTTACATACATGTAAATTACTTCTGAGAAACATAAACTATGTATTAATTCAGTAATTCCCAAAGAAGCTGAATATTCAAGCATTTTTTCATTTTGAGTCACTGCTAATTTTCCACATCGAAGTATATAAAATGCACATTTTGCATTTACATTTTTAAGAGAAAATTATATCCTTTTTAATATAAATACTAGTTTGTTCATCTGAAGTGTTTAATTCAAGACACAATCCCTTCTTCATTGAACTCTGTATACGTGTATTAGAAGTTTTACCTCACCCAGCCTTGTAATGGCTCCCCCTCGTGGCTATTTGCCATTATTACAGTTATATTCATACTTTGTCCTGTGTAGGTTTTGGAGCTAGTAGGGCTGAATCCCATGAAAGCTGTCAGCAGACAGTCTACCTTAGGTTAAAGCCCATATTTCTATATTAGAAATGTTTTTAGGTTGTCCTACCTCAAGCTTTTGTTCTATTTCAGCTGTTTGTGTTCAAGGTAGTGCAGAATAGAGAGCTCTAATTAATTAAGACACTATTATTTAAGATGTCACGTATTGCAATAAACTGAAATAAACTTTTAAGACAACAAAACATATTAATTTTTGCAACAGAGATAAAGGGAATAGACTGAAACAACTTATTTTAATTTAAAAAGTATCCTATCAAATCCTTCATCAGTGAAAAGGATGAATAAATTGTTCTGCTGAAGAGTACGACTGTCTGTGTTCATTATTAGTTAATCAATGGGAGCATTTTGTTTCTTTCCCTGAAGAGCAAATCACCAAAAATGTGTTTGTAAGAATGCTCATCTTCAGGGTCAGCTGTCAAAATAATTTTGGTTTCAAATAGCTCTAATCACTGTAACACTAATAAGATAAACTCATCAATGCAGGAAATCAGCATAAAACTCAACTATTTCTCCGTTTCTTTGAATAAATGTAGGAAAATCAACGATGTGGTCCTCAGTTTAGATGCATAATCAGATTGAGTAAAACTATTCTGAATTAGCTTGATTGTTGTTTTGTTTTTTATTTTTTTGTCATGGTGTTCTCTTTTCCAGCCAAGTTTCATGTTTCACCGCTACTCTGCCCTTCATGTCCTGTTGTCTATTCATGGATGAGTCGCACCTACGACTGCGACTCATTGACTAACTGTTCTGCAGTCAGTCAATGCAAGACCATCTGGCAGTTAATAATGCTTTGCTATATCTCTCAAATGTTTGTGTTTCTGTTTTGTGTCTCTCTCTCTAAGGGCAGCTGTGAGAACTTGACATGTTCTCTCAAACAGAGTCGAGAAGGAGTCGTAGTAGGAGAGGTGAATAAGGGGGGGAGTTCAAATGACTTGCAACAATCGTCATAAATTTCTTCTTTCTGCTCTTTGTTGCTCTTTAGAAGCACAGATGACTGCCAAACTTCATATTTTGGCATAATTGCACATAATATTAGTGTTTGGTATGAAGGATCGCTGTGAAGTGAGCAACACAATGTGACGACAGTGCTGTCTATCGCCACATCCTTATTCAGGAGGAGTGAATGCTGCAAGTCACTGGGTTTCCTTAGACAGAAAACTTTTTGAACTAATTTGAATAATAAACCAAGTGTAATGCATTGGGGCCATTTAAGTAAACTGAACTAAAATTGAATTATTTAATTAAAATAATTTAGAAATAAATTTGCAAGGGGAAGAATAATTAGGGAGTAACTGTTTATCAGAAAAGGGACTGTTGCCTATTATTCCAATGCTGAATATTTGAATAAAAATGACATGAACAAAGATTTTTTTGAAAAATATCAAATTTAATTTGGTTATAAAAGATGTATTTTCCCACATGTACACTCACACATAATTATCATAAATACCATCTATAAGGATTTCTCTTTTTTTTTTTCACAAAGCAAGCACATATGGTGGACTGATACGTGTGATTTCAAAGGACACCATGGAGAATGCTTGGAGTCTTTTACACAGCAAGAAACTTTCAGTGCAATTGAAAAATAAAAGGCTATTGAAAAAAATCAAGTAGAAACATTTAGAAATTGTCTACAAATGGATCAAAGTACAAAAGAGCTACAGCGTTTGGAGACACTACACCCATCCACAGGTGGATATTTTGGTTTTATGACCGTCTCATTTGACCATTTCTGACAGATTAGAATTGAAACCGTACAAATAGAAACATTAGAACAAAAAAATGAAAATTTGCCACAAGTCAAATGCTTTCTGCGGTGAATGCATTCGAGTAATGATGAGAAAGAATGAGAAGCAGAACCCTGATGAAAACAATAATCTCTTTCAAGTACAACCACAAATTCAAAACAAAGACAATTGGGAGATGGTAACGTTTTCTTCAATTAAAGCTGTGATTCATCCTTTTTACCAGGAGTTCAGTTTCTGAGAACCACTTTTCATCTTCATGATGGAAAATTGTTTATACAGCATGCACAGCAGTTTCTTGAAAAATTAAATCCAAATCCGTATAAAAAAAACAACAACTTTTTTCTATATTTTTGTCAAATAAATGCATAATGTATGTCTCAATAAAAATCAGAAACTGAGGTAGGACAATGGTTTAATCTGTGTTTGTATTGATCTGTCTTTCCATCAAAAGTAAAAATAAAAAATAAAAAAAATGTATTATTTATTAATGTAGTGTTGCTGCAAATCTATGTTAATTTACATAGCTGTCAGATTATCAGACATTATTGGATTTGAATTTAAAAATGTGATCTGAGAAGAAAATGAAATGTTGGGCTCAAATGTTATAAATTCATACAGCGCCTTCGATGTGTTTTGGCACCAAGGTTTTCAATATTTGTTTTATAGTGAAAAAATAAAAAAAAATATTTTTCATTGCTGGTGCACTATTTACTATTTTTTTACTATTCAGAAAGTTAACTTCAAATGGATATTTCAAGAGTTCATATTTATATTTAGAGTATGAAGATGACATTCACTAAGAAACCTCTGTCATATTTTCAATTTTTTCTTCAAAGAGGGGAAGAGAAGAAAATACTCCATTCAGGAGATGTGCACTGCTCTTTTTAAATAATTAAATGAATGGCTTCAGAAACTTGCATATCTACAATCAGAATGATAATTAAAAAGTTGAAACAACTGGAACTTCGACAAAAAACTCCAACCGAGGATATACAGCTCTACTTCCAACATGCACAGTGAGGCGGAAAAAAATAAATCTCAAAATCTCACTGTCAGAGCAGTGAAAAAATTTATTCTGTGTGAAACTGTAGTAATGAAATACATTTGTTTGTTTTTAAGCTTTTTACATATCTTTATCAAGGGTGCCTGTAAATTTTGAGGTCTGCAAATGTTTTTGGCCTGCATTGTTTGTGAACAGCGATCACAAAAATTGATCTCTGGTTATTTTGTTCCAGATTCTTAAGTAATGGCATTTATAAGCTTCCTTACATGTAATTTGGTGTAGTATACTCTTTACTGTAGGTAAAGTGCAAGTAAAATAACTAAGTCATATAAAACTCAGAGTAAATGAGTCAATATTTCTTCAGACATGATGATGAAATCAAAGGGCAATGCATGCCTTGAATTGATTTTTTTTTATTTTATTTTTTTGTTAATTTCAAATTTTTTTGTGTGGTTTCTGTGTCCCACTCACTGTATATCTGCGCAATATCAACAACAGTGCATTCAAAGAGAGTAGCTGAATATTACTATAGAAATAAAAAAAAAGTAAAAGTGCAAAACACAAAATGTATCACATGTCCACACGCACACGAACTATGTCTTTATCCAATCAGAGAAAACATCCACTTTGTGCAATAAGAAGATAGACACAGAATTTTCTATAGAACTAGGCGTTTCATGACAGGTTGACAGCAAAGACAAAAAAAAACTAATTTATTTTTCCTAGAAGTGACAAAGCTCAGGCGATCAGTCGTGAAACAAAAACCTTTTGTATGTCAGTCTTGTAATACAATAAGGAATGTCGTGCTCGTGTTGTGTTCAAAAAGGCCACTGAGACTGCGCTCGCCGGCGTTTAATGCCCTGATGCCAATCTGTTGTCATTTCTCCAAATTTCCTTCATCATTTGAACAGGCTTGGTACAAATAAAAGTCTCCTTTCCCAATATATGCTACCACATCTCTAAAATATTGCACTAAAAAAGATTACATTTTGTTGTCAGCAGTGTTCCACAGAACGAATAATAACAGTATAATGTAATAAATTTAAAGTTTGTCTTGATTCATCCTCTATGGTACACATTATGCTTATATTATATATATATATATATATATATATATATATATATATAAAAGCATTGATTGTTTTTAATTAATTTTATAGCAAACAAACTGCTTTAGACTATTAAAAACTAAGGTTTTATTCCTGTTCGTGTAAACTTTTTTTTTTTTCCATGAAGGAATGTAGATATCTTATGGGGCAAGATAGTGAAACACTTTCCTTTTAAAAACTGATCAAAATGATTGGAAAATGGCAAATGAATCCTTGACAATACCCCTCTTCAAGGTTTTTCTACTTGAGGGCACAATGGTACCATAGAGGGCTAAAAGTGAAGAAAATTGTAGAAATGCATGTCATGAAAATCCTAGTTTTTTATTTTAGATAAAGCATCCCTTAATTTGAAATACAGTAATATCACAGTAATATGCGTTTGTTTTGGAAAGTCACTTCACTCTTGATTTTGGCACTCCACTGTACAAAATTTATGTGTTTTTTATCCAGCACTGAACACATTTGTATCACTTGCTAGGCTCACGCAGTCAAAGAGGTGAGTCACATGCTCACTCTGTAATGTACCGTCACATCACAGTTGATTGTATGGATGCTATGTACAGAGCCCCACAGATTTATGTATAGGATTTTTATGCTATTAAATATTGTCATTATTGTTTCACAGGAGACAGTCTCTTAAGCAGTTTCTTTCCTTTGGAGAGTATTCCTTTCTTCTTCTTGTTTGCCAGATCTTGAGGGTCCCTGGGGTCCAGCGGAACATGGTGACCCCTTGGAGGGCTAAGCGGTCTCATAGTTCCTGGAAGGAGGGGACGAACGATAGGGGACGGCGCCGGACAGGGGTTGTAATGTTGTTGGCCGTGTCTGTGTTTTCTGCAGTGACCTGAGGAGGTTTGGAGGCATATTACAAATGAAGCAACTATTTATGTTTTTTTTTTTCTTCCATTTTTCAGGGGGGGTTTAAGGGGCTATAAAAAATTGTGAAAAAAACACAAAGGGATTGTCTGTTTTTTGAAATTTGATAGGAAGTTTTCAATCATAACTAAATTTCTAACAATCTAGGATTGTAGAGGATCTTGAAATAAAAACCCTAAGAGTAAATAATGAAACAAAACTAACAGAGCATCTTAAAATTTTTATTAATTTTCTCAATGTGCAGTGCTTAAATTGTTTGATTTGCTAAAGTGCTTCTGCACCACTATTGTTCATGTGCAGAAAAGAAAACGAATAGTCACAAATTAGTGAAGTGACTAGGAAATGTAAAATTGTCAAAATAAATGCACACAAAGAAGGCATTAGGTTTTATTTAAGGAACAATACTTTTAATTCTAGTCAAGTATATAATAATTTTCTTAAAACCCAAATCTCTGAATTACATTATATTTATTGGTCATATCTAATATTTTCACTTAAACAGAAAATCAGTAGAATTAACCGAAGACTTCAAAACATAAGTCTGTGTAAGAAATGTATATTCTCTTTTACTATATTTTTAAAAATAATATTCTAATTTATTGAATTGGTCAGAAAGCTAGGCCAGATTGATCTTTAAAATTTTAGAGGTATACATGAGTAAGTGCTTGCTTCAATGACTGCAAGGTGCCGAGGTCCAGTGAATGAAAACGGACTCAATCAATCACCCTTCCATCACCATGTTTGACCATTGGCGTTTGTGCTGATAAGTCATATTTGGTTTTCAAGAGAGCTGACGGTGTGCAGTGTGAACTACCTCAGGTTTTTTGGCCCTGTTAACGCCTCCTTCTACCATGTGTACAGACTGATTCAAACCACTGAGTTCTCCTCCTTCCTCCCACAGATGGAAAACATGACTGTTAGGTTAATTGGTGTCTGAAAATTGCCCTTGGACTGAGTGTGTGTATCATTTGTGTGTCTCTGGGTTGTCATGTGTCGGGCCGGAAACCTGTTTTTCTTTTTGTAATCCTTCCTAGCAAACCCTTTTTTCTGTCTTTTCTAACATACATGTCAACACCCAGGAAAAGTTGGCAAACTTGCCTTCAAGGTTTTCAACTTTTGATTAGTCTCTCTTAACATAAGATAGCTTCAAAAACTTTACAAATGTCCTTGCAATCCTCTGCAGACCGTTGAGGAGCAGTTCTTTCTCTAAGGCCAACTTAGTGTTGTTTTTTTTTCCTGCTTGATGAGGTGATCATCTTCTCTGTTTAACCTTATGAAAGAAATAAAAAGTGCCTTACATTTTTTTATATATTGCTTGTAGAAGAAATACTTATTGACTAGTAAACATAAAAAATTAGGTGCCATATGTGTGATCTAATTGAGGGAAAATTGTGGACACCCTACCCTCCTTTTAAGTAGAGATACTTCCCTGTGGGTGAAACAAATTCAGTGAGATGCTTCTTGTGGCAATCTACCAGAGTCTGGGAACAGCTTGCCCCACTACTCACTTTTACCTGTGAGATGTTAAAGGGTTTTCTTACATCTCCAATGTCTTTCAAGTCACCTTACAGCATGTTATGAATATATTGGCTTTGACTCTGCCCTGGACTTTTTATTCCAAGACAGACCTGACCAGATTTGATCTATTCTGGGTTTGTTCAACATTGTGATTGTTGTTGTTAGTTTGTTAGTTTTTGTTTGTGTATAGAATACACACAGCAGGAAGCCAGGAAATGTTAAACAACATCATCACACCACAGAAGCAGGGAACTCCAATATTAGTCGGCCATAAGGAGACAGTCATTTACATTACAACACCCAGGGATACAACTGTAGATGCCAGGCTTCTTCTCTAATGCAATAACTGCTAATTCCAATTGTTTTCTTTTTATGTTATGATTTTTTTTTTTTTTTTTTTTTTTTTTGCACAATAAAGTTTGAATATTTCCAGAGGCTTTGACAGAACAAAAGAAATAACTCGGAAAACCGAACCAAGTGAAGAGACAGATTTTGATGAATCTGAGTCACAACAGGACGTAGCGCCAAATAAAGCCCTCGCTGCGCCCACAAGCTGTTTGCATTAGAGCTGCGAATCTGATATCTCCAGTTGCCAACTTACTGTACAAGGGCAGACAGAGCCATTTATGGTGTGAAATGAACAATCTTCCTCTGTTTGTTTGTTTAGTTTTGCCAAGCGGGTGAGGAAAAAAAAAAAAAGAAAGAAATCAGATGTGGTAGCGTTGTCACTATCGAGAAAAACCACATCACTATGACAACAGAAAGCAACAACAACACCACATGAACACAGAGCGCAAACAAGAATGGTTTTAATATCCAATCTTTTTTTTTTTTCCTTTCCTTTTATTGTTTCAATGTAACAATACAGAATGGATGTCTCAGTGCTGCGGTTCTCTTGAGCTCAGAGCAAACATGGCATATCCACCGTCAACAGGGCTGAAAAATAGATCTGATGTGTGGGTAAGAGAAACAAAGCCTCTTTCAGGAAATACACAAGCTGAGCCAAGAAAGTTAGAAAATGTATCAAGTTTGAAAAAAACATGCTTTTCTTTACTTTTAAACTTCTCTTAAATAATCTTAAATAATTTAAACTGGGTAGCAATGTGTTGCTGAGCACTTTTAAATAGAATTGTACACAATAACAACAATTTGACTTTGTGTTTTAGTGCAAAGAGTTACCAATTTTTTTTTGTGTGTAAGGAATGAGTTGAGCCTTTTTTTTTTTTTTTACATGTCCTCCTCAACCAGTCCTATAAGCATGAGCTACCTGCAGGGTTCCCATGGTCTATCCTCTCTCTGTCCACAGGCTTTGCTTCTTCCTTTCTCTGAGATTAAGAAAGGCGTTAACACTGGATTTTGCTCCCTTTCCGAAGGGTGAAGGGAGTGGGGAAGTCGTTAGTCTGTAAAGAGTCACCACTGTCACCACATGGACAAACACACACAATGAACAGCACACAGACTGCAGGTGGAGGAAGCAAGAGACGGAAATCAAGAGGAGAGGGGACGAAGGATGGATGAACACAGGGTCTAGCGCTGAGAGCGGCGATGATGATGTACCCGTTTTCCCTCTGGCACGTTTGCAGTGGAGTTTGCAGGGGGCCGGTTGGCGGGTTCTTCCTGGGGGTAGTGGGACGGGGTGTCGGTCAGATAGACCTCCACGTCATCAGGCACTTCTTCCAAGAAGTTAGAGGGCACCAAGCCACGATGGCCATTGAGCTCACCCTAGGGACAAAGATGGTGAGAACAGAAAACAAGAGAAAGAAGAGAAAGAAGTTCAAAGAACCTCTGAGAAACGGGCAGATTATCAGACAAAAGCTTCACTCAAGAGTGAAAGTATTTCTCATTTAAAAGATTATTGATCATTTAGCATATCTGTTTTCTAAGGGTGTAAAGTCTGTCAAAAACGTAACTGTAGCAAATTTCTTAAATGTTTCAATAGAAATTAGACTTTAGATTTTTTTACGGAGCTTTTGCTGTAATTGATCAACCTAAGTCATATAACTATATTGTATTTTCTTGATCAGGTACCATCTTCTTATTTTTAAAACTCCGAGAGAAAAGTGTGTTGATAATTATGTGTTTATTACTTAAACTTCATTGGTAAGCACACAATTTTTAGTCTTGATTTATCTTAGACCTTCCTAAGTGAATACTTCTATCACAAGCATGTCAAGCAACTATTTTAAAACTTCAAACAATACTGCTTGATGAAAATTCAAAGACAATTTGTACAAGATGGGATCTACCTAAAAAAGCTGCTATTATTCTGCTATCATTAATTATGCAATTTAGAGGAATTCGCTCAGACAATAAAGCCTCAAAGTGTAAAACAATCTGCTTACGTGATAAAAAAAAAAAAGTTTAAAAAAGATTTCCATTTCAAGACTCTGGAAATGAATCCATAAAGTGGTGATAATGACATGTGGGTTACCATGCCCTTCCATCTGTGACCACATAATCAATTTCTATTGGCTAATTCCAGTAAACTAATGCACCATGTCACAATGCTCAATCACATCAATTGATCACCAAGTGGCTTCAGCATGGATAAGTGGCACTCACATAGTAAAACCCATCTTCATCAATGTCTCCAAAAACAGCAATGATGTCGCCAGCACAGAAGGTCAGCTCAGCCTATCAGGAGACAAATACAAAACAGAAAAATTTCTGTGCGAAGGCGTGCATGTGTAGGCGTTTGTGTGTGTGTGTTATTATGTGCAAGACAATGAGGGCGACTTAGATGGTGGGCCTCAACTTTATTGACGTATTTCACATTTCACAGTTCTTTTATCAGAAACTGAACATTATAATTTAACTTAAATTATTTAGGCCAAACCCCAGATTTGCCTTCTAAACCATTTTCAAAAGACAAAAATTTTATATAGATAATAATGGTTGTGGTTAACTTCCTCTTTCTATTATATGGCTTTACCTCAACATCAACATTAGGGGAGCTCTCTCTGGGGTCGTAGTCGTAGAGCGCCACCATCCTTCTTGAGGCCTGATCTCGGCGGAGACCTCGTCTGTTCTGCTCTACAGGCGATAACATGGAACAACTCAGAAAACAATAATGTCATCCTGGGGACTGCATTACAACTTTAACTCACTGGAGTGCACAACAGAACACATTATTATATAATAAATAGATTGATAAATATGATAATTAAGAAGTTGAAGAAAAAAAATATTAAATAATAGAAATATAGGAAGATCCAACTAACCATAAGTCTGAAATGAATGAATGTATATGGGAAAATAAATATAAATATAAAAAAAAATACAAAAGCAATAACTTTACACTAAAATAAGAAAATGAACAGAAAGAAATTTACAACAAAATTATGTAACTACTGTTGCGGTCCCTTCAAAAATCTGTTATTTGTTATAAAATTTAATATTTTACAACAGTTCTTATAAAATAATTTACTCCATTTTGTTGTTGCTGAAATTTTTCTGCAATGTTTTTATTTCCAAGATTTGTGCTACAACTTAATTAGAATTTTTGTGCACACCAATACCAACAAATTCCCTTTCAACTTTTACACATTTACTCTGTACTCAGTCAGCATGCCTCTGCAGTACCTATTTTGTCCACAGGGGTGCTGAGAGGCAGAAAGCCCTGCTTGATGAGCTGATCCATGGTCTCCTCATCGTCTGCTCGTATCTCGGACACCATGTTACAGGGAAGAAGCCCCATCCTGCCTTTTATTGCTCCTCTGTAAAACCCATCTGTGTCCTTATCACCATAAACCTGACAGATATGGGAGTGAAACAGACATGTTCAAAGCCTCATTGAAAAGTTTTTGTGTTCCAGAAATTTAGAATATCTTTCTAGAAGATTTTTCATCTTCCAGAATATGGTATTCTGGAAGATGCTAAACATTTCCTATTGAGTAATTTGTGACCGAATATAACAGTCAGTTATTAGAACTTCACTTTAAATGCTATTATTATTATGACAGCTGGAGAACAGGGTGCTAAATGCAATCTAGCAGTGAATATCCCACCTTAATTATCTGCCTTCTTTGAAAGGTAGCTCCTCATCTGCAGCATCTGGGTTGGGGGACATAGACATAGGATCGTAGTCAAAGAGCGCCACAAATATCCGAAAAGGTTCCTCAGGCTCTGACTCGTCATAGTACGTTGGAGAGCGTCTGTCCCGATTCCTGTAGCCGTCTTAAACACAAACAAAAAAAGGCACGAGTCAAAAATAATCTTTACACAGCCAAACTACAAAAAAAAAAAAAAAAGTGACTAAAACATAGATACAGACATGAAGTGCAAGAGTGTTTGTGAGATTTGGCCACAAATGGAGCAGATTTCTGAGCAACAGGTTACATGTAATATTTATACTTAATACTTTAATACTTTCCTTATCTAATTTGTTAAGATGAGCATGTTAATGGTATATCTAAGCCATGCCCCAATACACAGAAATTGATGAGTAAATTCTGCATCTTTATCATTCTTAATTACTAGATTGTGCACTGCATGATAGATTTATTTCTCTTATCTTGCCATATTTGTGCCTCTAAACATGCAGAAAATAGCTGTGACTAGCTATTTATTAAAATTTCACGTGGCACGAACACACATGCATTCACAAAGACAAACGACACATGAAAACTGCGTGTGGTTTTGAATAGGTCTTGTTTTTTTCAGCTTTCAGTGTGCTAAGAATAGTGTGCAGCAAAACAGGTGAAACATTATGTGATTTGTGGAAATGAGACAGCAAGACACAAGACTTTGACATGCATTTTTAAATGAATCAACATAAATAGGTAGCAAAGCAATTATGTGAAATGTGCTGATGAATGCCAACTTAAATAGTGTAGAAGCTGGAAGTACAACTTGGTCTGATAGAAGTATTGAGCAAATGAGAGCATTTTCAGTAGTACCGTGGAAAGGAAGACTGTATTTAAACTCGTAGGTTTTGTATTTCATTTATCAAAGAAGTATTTTTCTGTATCCTTGACCAGAATATACTTCTGAATTTGATGTGGTATATTTCAGTACATCCATCTATTTATCACTTGCTAACTTTCTCATTTAGAAAGATGCATTTTGTCTAGAAAAACAATATTACATCATCCCAATGACAGCAGATTTAAAATGGCCAGCTGTCCATTTTCATACTGATTTTAAGATTTGTTTACATAAGATTTTTGAATGTTTTTGGACTAGAACTGAATGATTTAGGCAGAAAAAAAATACCAGCATTTTCAAAACATTGTGATAAACTAAACATAAAATGTCTTTGAGCATTTTGCTCCATTACAAGTTACAAGCTAAGAAACATCAAAGAAAATCTCTCAACTCTCTCAATTAGCAGTGTGTTAATGTACAAAATGCATTTCAGTTTTCTAAGAACTGTTTAAGAATGCAAATATGATCTGTCATCAAGTTCACATGTTGCTTCTCCTCTCTATCTTCTAAAAAAACACAAAATTGCGGCCCCACACGTTGTCTGACTTATTTAATTTTAAAGTCCACCTTTATCAGTAATATGGTCAGTTTATATGTGTTATCACTAAAGATAACACAGAGAACTGAGCCTTTAAAATGGACGTTTTCACAATGGCTTTCACATGAGTTCAGCTGAAATTCTTTCACATCTTTTTTGCTGATATTTTCTAGATTTAAAAGTAACATAATTTTGTACTCAAAGATAAAACTGATATTTCAAGTTAATTTTCAATTTTATTCTCAATAGGAGTTCAAATAAACATGAATGATTGGTCCAAATTGCAAATGTACAGGATGTGATTGTATCAGAAAGGGAAGGGTGTGCATGACGTTCCCTAAACAATCAATCAATCATTTATCATTGCAGTTGTGGAAACTCCTATTGCAGACATTTGGTCCTGCTGGTGTGTCCACCACTCCATTCCATTGCAGTGCAGTCATGCGATTCTAATGTAAGCATTATTATAACCATTATCCCTTAAGACAAACAAACAGGCAGTTGCAAGTGCCCACAGCTACGTCTCTATATTTGCAGAGTGCTGGTGGCCATCTTTGCTGCCATGCTTTGGAGGTAGAAACAGCTCTGCAGGCACATACCATGGGGACACCTGATGCCGCCTGTGTGCCTGCGGGACGACCACGCCTTGTGTCGAGCTACTCTGCCATAGTTAACATCTTCGTTGATGGGGGAGGGGTTTCCCTCATTGTTATTCTCAGAGGTTACTTCTATGAGAAATACCAGTTGAAGATGATGTGGTTATAAAGCAATTACAAACTTTTCTCCTTTTAAAATGTTATCAATAACTTTGCTGCTAAAATTGGAAGAAATACAAATCAGCAAGTACAGCCTTGTGCAGAACATCTAATACCCCTGGAGCTTTGTCACATTTCACATTACATAAACTTTAGAGTGTTTATTGGAATAGACCAACACAAAGCAGAGCAGAATATTTTCAGAGAAGAAAATAAGGTTTGAATTTTTTGGATGTTTTTTAGGGATACCAGATTAAATCTCAACCCAATTCATTCTGGTATCCCTAAATAAAGTAGAGGTGTACTTGTGTTTCATTTCATTTCATTATAAAGGCAACATTTCTGCTCTGTTGCAGAGCAAACAGCATTATGAAGACCAAGATAGACATAAGAAAGATCAGCGATAAAGATATGAAAAAGTTTAAAGAAGGTTTGGCGATAAAAAACAAGGAGATAATTAATCACACAAGAAGAAGTAGGGAGGAAATCTGGAGGAACTGCTGAGATTTACAGTTCAGGTGGAGCAATCAGTTTACTGGACAGACATTAGTTGTGCATTCCACAATTTGGTACTTGGTGGAAAGGATGAAAAGAAAATAGCTATTTCTCCAGAAAGCGACAAAAGGTTCTGTTCTTTCTTGGACGGAAAATATGGAGGGTGTATAGCAAACAAGTGGAAGATGCTCTTATCAGATAAGACTAAAACTGAACAAAATGTGTGATCGGAAATCAACATAGTACTGAACACATTTGGTTCTTGATTTGAGATTATTTACAATACAATTTTGGCATCAATAAAACAAAACTGTAAAATTTTAATAATATTTTCTGTGAAAACTACATACCCATTGGTTTATTTCAACTAGAGCCCAGTGGATTTTTTGTCCTGCAACTTTTAGGTGTGTCCCTGCACCAACATACCTCCATCATATAATTAGTAGAGGTACTGTTCAGGTGGAGTAAATCAGTTTTTTGTTAATGGCATGTTGATCTTGGGACACATTCAAAAGTTGCAGATCACTGGCCCTCAAGGACTAGAGAACTAGAGATGCCACAGAAATATTATGAACTATTTAAAAACATCTGCATTTAGTATTGAAGAATTCTGCTCAGGTTTGTCTGGTCTGGATACTACAAGTTTCATAGCTAGCTCTGTCATGGTCCTATTGCCAAGAAAGCTACATAAGATCTTTACAAACAGAAATTTAGAAAAAACTTTGTTTAGAAAAAATCTGTCCCTTGATGCATCTGTAGCTAGTAGAGGTCTGTAAATTAATAAAAACATGTTTTACTTTCATTTTAGTTCCATTTAGAAAATGCACAACTTTGTGCTGGTCTATTGTGTAAAGCCCTGTTAAAATACACCGAAGTTTGTCCTTGTAACATGTCAAAAAGAGGAACATTTTAATTTACTTGTTCACGTCACTTTTCCGAGACACTGTTGGGAAATCTAAAATCTTTTCTTTATCAGTGAAAAACCTACATATCTGTGTGGTGACAGAACAGAGGAGTAAAGTCACATCACAAAAAAGATCAAACTCTGCATACAGAAAGAAAGTAAAGATGGGTCATGGGCACAGAAATGATCTGGAGATAGAGCAAAGCCTGAGGAAGTTTTAGTAAATTAGAATTAAATACATTTTTATGTCACACAAAAAAAATAAACTGACTGCAACCTTCTTTCTTTCTTGCCGTATGTCAGTACTAACCAATGGATGGGACCATTAGAGGTCGCCTCTTAGGCTGTGATCCACCATGTTGAATTCGCCTCCCATTGTCCCGGTCATGGCGGCCTCCACCAGGACTGTTTGTCTGAAATATACAGGCACAAAGCAGAACTTACAGATATCAGAGATTCATGACCAGCTTACATGAATGTGAGCAAATTGTGTGTGTGTGTACTTATATATATATATATATATATATATATATATATATATATATATATATATATATATATATATATATATATATATATATATATATATAAATATATATATATATATATATATATATATATATATATATATATATATATATAAAATATATATATATATATATAAATATATATTATATATATATATATATATATATATATATATATATATATATATATATATATATATATATATATATATATATATATTTTTTTTTTTTTTTTTTTTTTTTTTTTTTTAAGAGATAGATTTGAACACATTTTTTACCAACACAGCCATGCACAACTCACAGACAGGCACTGTAACACAGACACATAGACTTACATTCAAACATACACAAGCAGATGAGGAATATCATGACTGGAAGCTGATACTGGTATAACACTAGTCCTGAATTTTGATTGGGAACACATATAGAACATTATGCAAAGACATTAGTGAGCATGACATGTGGTTCATGAGTTTGGGCCTCTCAACTTTCCATGGTGATTCAAGAAAGCTGGTTTCTGCCTGGACAGACAAACTTTGACGATGCTGCTCCATTTACATTTCCTGTGAGCTCAATGCTGATGAGGGAACTAATTAATGCAGCTAAACAGTCATCTAAAATAAGATTCTACAACTGTGTGTCATTTCCTTGGTTGACACGTACATAGCAAAGGTTGCAAGAGCAAAATAAAACACCTGAGGATATAGGATAGAGGATAGAGGATAGAGTTGAGTGAATGGACTGTCGGAGTGCAAGCCAGCTTCTGTGTGGCAGGGAAAAACAAAAACTCAGACTATCACTTTCTCTATCTTTGTTAACTCAGAGTTCTCCAACTTCTTTAGTTTTCCAAAATGACAAACTACACCACCAATATTCTTTTCTTCTCATGTATTAATTTAACATTCTAGGAATGATTACGAATTCATTTTACACTCAAACTTAACATACTGCTGCGGCACCCTTCGGAAATATTTATTCATTTTAAATATGTTTAGAACTTACTAATATTTCAAAAGTATTAATTATAAATGTGCAAGTAATTTTATAGTAATTGTTGTTATTTTATTCAGATGGGTTTGTTATTTGTTATAAAATCCACAACTTGCTGACTCCTTGTGGAATGAAGATGGTGTGGCTAAAAATTACATTTCTCTTGATTGCTTCTTAAAATGGGAAAAAAAAAAAAAAATTCCAAGTAAGGCAAATGTGTGTTCTTCCTTTGTCGAGTAATTGCTGCAAAAGGAACTGCAAATTACCTTTCCCATTTTTACAGACGAATCAATTAAATGGCCTAGAACAGTCATTCATTTACCTTGAATGACTTTAAGATGGAAGGTGCTGCAGTAAAGGTGCATTTTAGATACACTTTACTCTTTGGTCTCTGTTATTTACTTCTTGGTTTTCTTTGCAATCCTTATTAATCTGAATGCAAAGGGAAAAATTAAAGTTTTCACACAGAGCCACCCAGATCAATTTGAAAACAAACCATCTAGTGCTTACATGTTCAGTGGGCTCAAAGTTTGTCTTCATATACACATCTTAAGCACACGCACTAACAACACAAAGTAAAATGCAAGCCAAGGCAGCAGTCATTTAAATATCTGTGCCTGTGCAGTTCACTACATTATAATGAACAAGGATGCTTGACTCTAGGATTTCACAATGAGTGCAAAGAACTGCACCTTGGGTGTGTTGTGCGAGTTGCGTCGTCGTCCCTCTTCCAGCTGCATCTCAGAGTACAGCTCCTCCTCATCCTCCTCCATGATGTCAGACAGGTCAGAGCCCCGGCTGCTCTCGCTGTGATAATCTTCATTGTGACTATAGTGAGGCTTGTGGTTGTTACAAAGACACAAACACACAGACGCAGTTGTTTAAGTCCACAGACATACCTAAGCACGCACAAAGACATGGGCGGAGGAGTGCAGACATGCAGCCACTCAGATGTACATGCACACACAACACACATCCTGACACATTTAGGACGTTTCCCACGAAAAAGCAAAACATATGTGTTTGTAGAAGGGGTGGGTTCTACCTTCTATGGGTTCTTACCGGCCTCCCCAACTCAGAGCCTCTGAGAAACTCGTCCACTGAGGGTCCTCTCCGACGTCCATGTGCAAATCCTTCCTCATCTTCCTCTTCCTCATCAGAGGGATGCTGGTGAAATGAATGACCCTGCTCTCCATATCTCCCATCCTTCTGTCTCCCTAAAAATAAAGAAGAAAAAAAGAAAGTGCGTAAAAATGTGTTTCTATTTTAACTTGTTTTCTTGACATTTCACTAGAAACTTCAATTAGATTAAAATAGACTTAATATAAAACCTCCAAAAGACAAACAACAAAGTGTAGTTTCACTAAGCAAAACTTACTACAATGTTTTGTGTAACATTTGTGTGGTGCTCTTTCCAGACCTTGCCACTTTCTGCTGCCACCCTCTGTGCTGCTTCTCGAGCAATAGCTTTGGCCACAGTATCTGGGATCAGCGTGCCTTGGGCTGAGGAAGAATCCTCTGAGGGGAGGGGGAACGCAAATGTACCGGGGGGAGGGGCCTCCAGAGTGTGACCTTGCATGGGCACAGGAGGCTGCAAAGATGATCGACTTGGGTCCCAGCCGGGCTGGCCAGGCGGAATAGCTCCTCCATGGTGGGCTGTGTGCTCTTTGGCATCCAGGTCTCTGGCACTTACTGGTCTCTGAGGTATAGGGTGGGGCTGAGGGTGGGGCAGCAGAGGCAGTTGGTGTGGGGCCTGGGACCCTGGTGGAGAGGGCGAGGCTGCAGGTGTAAGGGCTGCGGTTGGGGGTGCGGGGTTCCGCCTGGATGAGGAAGTCTGGGATGTGGAGGGTGAGGTTGCCCATGAGGTGGAAGTTGGGGTGTAGGTTGAGGAAGGTGAGGAGATGGGAGGTGAGGTTGAGGATGAGGGTGTGGATGAGGGCCCATGTGTGGGTGCATTGGGGGCGGCAGGGGTAGGGCAGGTAGAGGCACAAGCAGGTTGTTTGGAATGACGGCGACTTGGGAGTCCTGGGACTCTCCTTGGACTGACAGTGTTTTTACAATGACTTCTCTGGCCTCCAGGCATTGAATCCTTGTCAGATCAATAGTGACATAGTCTGCCATTGGAAACAGTACCTCAGCTATCTGCAGTGGAGAAAAAAACATATGTTATTTTATCACTTAAAGCAGAAACCATTTATAATTTTACCAACAACTTTTAAAAAGGCCTGCATTTGATTTCACACAAAATGCTGTGATGCATATTTTTTTGTCTGTTAGTTCTTCCTGTTATTTCAACTGCAAAGTATTTCAGTCCCATTGATATTTTTTCTTATTAGGCTGCAAAAAAGTAAATGAATATCATTATTATCCGTTTGGTAATGATAGCATTGTATGCATATATGTAAATGTGTGTGTATGTGTGTGTACATATGCGTGTGTGTTTATTTATTTTTTTACTGTAGCCACTCATGCCATGACTAACAGCTCAAAATCAGATTACACCTCAACAAGTGTTGAAGACGCAAAAACTTAACGAAAGGTCAAAAAACTATATTTCAAGAATTTTAAATGCCAAATTTCATTTTCAGACTTAAAGTGAGCAGTTCAGAATCCGTGCTGTGCCGATTTACCCTTTTAGATGTGATGTTTTGATTTACTTTAGCTGTCACCAGAGGGGCTAAGAAACCTTTCTAAGACATTTACATGTCCCAGTAACCAAGTCATGCTCCAAACAGCAATCACAAGCAGGTTGCTTTGCTTTGTACACCAAAGATATTTAAGGAAAAAAATCACAGTCAACGAGCATTTTTTTTTTTTTGTAATTTAAGGAAGACGTTATTATCCTTCAAATATATCAAAATATTTTAAATTTTCCAATCTTTTGGAGGCACATAAAGCTTCTATCAAAATGTTGATATATGCCTTGAAATTTAGATCAACTCCTCACCATCATTCATAATTCTCCAGCTAAATAGGAGCCATAGCCTACGTTATCATTACTCAAATATGCACACTCACCCTTTGTCCTTTAGTGCAGACTGCATAGCCAACAACATTTGCCCCATTAGATGTGCCTGTTGGAGAGAGGATGGGAGGCTTCCAGCGGACTTGCAGAACCCCTGGAGCCTGCCCACAGAGCACCTGAACATCCTGTGGGGGCATCGGGGGACCTGAAAGGTGAGGAAGCATGTGCATGAAGATATCCTCTGCCTGTTACTTACTAGTCTGCTACAGATAGTATGCAAACAGGGGGGAAAAGGTGGGAAGCATTCCTCTAATGCATAAATAAGTATAGATAACAACCATGCAGAGGAATGTATGACTATAAATGAGGAAGTGACAGAAGTGCAAGAATTATTGTAAAAGGGATTTTAATTTTTAATTCATTACCCCAGTCACAAAAGCCAATTAAACGATGCAATATTTTCAGAACAACTCTTCAATACTTTGTGAAGACACATGCAAATACTCAGGATGACTTATAGGAAGAGATAATAACAGCATTGTGTTGTTGAGGTCATTTAGTTGCCAGCAGAATTTGGACGGCAGTAGGTTTGCTATGATCTGACTGGTGATGATATAAAGATTAATGATTTTGCCTTAGCATTGATTTGGACTGGAGTTAAATATGTGTAATCTGCTTCAAATTTGCCAAGGTTTAATGGGACAGTTTTTGTCTTATAATAATTAAGTTAGAGCAGAAAAGTTATGTTTAATGTAGCTGTTTAATTGGAAAGGAAAATATTTTTTGGATTTTAGGATCATATTTAACAACATTTCAAGTCTAATGACATTTTAGTAGTTAAATGTACTATTACTATAATAATATTATAATATATTAATGTAAAATGCTATCACATACTAACATTATTTCTTAAGAAGCAAGATATTGTGTACTCTAACACTTGCTTACCGTTAACTACCCTTAAACAAAATAAGCTAAATGAAAACAAAGCTGCTACACAAATAAATAAATCAATCTGGGCTTTGATTCAGTCTTCCCAACATGCAGCACATAATAGTAAGATAGTTTTTCCTTTTAGCAAAACTGTGAATCATACCTGTAGATTCTTTTATTTAATATTAGTAATAATAATCCTCCAATAATTAAAGCAAAAAGGCAGCAGTCAAAGGTTTGAATGGTGCTGTTGTTTTCTTTTCAAGAAAATGTATAGGGATGAGAAAATGAATCATATTAACTGTATCATGTGCTGTTCAACTGCTCTCTGATAGGTAATGTACTCTGTGTGAACAATGGGCAAAATTACAAATGAATTTGATTGCAAATAACAAATTGTGTTAAAATTTGGAGAAAAAAAATCATTCAAGTCAATTTATTGTACTTAAGTGGGACATACTTCCAGAACAAGAAACAAATGCAACATTGCCCGCATGCTTTGAGTGAACATGTAATAATTATCCTTCTACTGAAATAAAAAAAAAATTATTAAAAGTATAAATGAGATATTTTGTTGAGTGGCTCAGGGAGAAACATGTAAAAACCAGCCAAGCACTGATGCTCAATCTCTGACCTGTTCTGCAATATGGTGTTGGGCCTAGACGGAATACAATACACAGAAAATAGCATAACATCAAAATGAGGGACCGCATTCTTCCACAGCACAGGACAGAGACTTAAAGATTAATTGATGCTGCACTAAGTTTACATTCATAAATAATAAAATTAACAGCAGTAACAGACTGTGAACCCAATTTTGATACCATGCTTGTAAAAACTATGTAAAATAAATGTTTGGTGACTATTACGTATTTATACACTGTCTTGCAGGGTTACTCATATCCTTCACAATCTAATTTAGTTTATTGCATCGGGATGTGATAGACCAACATAAAGTCCCACAAAAATGTTAAGTGGAAAGAAATGGATATGTTGTTTTAAATTATTATTATTTTAAAATAAAAATCTAAACAATAAATTGTAGTACACATGTTTTTAGTCTTCCTTGCTCAGATACCACTAACTAAATTCCTTTAGAAGTCTCTAAAAGTCAAACTGTATGTCATTTATCTCAGTATAAGTGCAGCTGTTCTGAGGATAAAAGGTTAAGTAATGAGAGAAATAAGAGGTTTGTGAGATATTAGTAAACAAACAGAATTCTGAATACTGATGAAATACACCAAACAAATCAGATACCAGATTTGCCACCAATCTTGAAAAGCAAATGTAAACACTTGGGTTCTGTTAAGATGACAAAATATTTAGCTTGTTTGCCCACAAGGAAAAGGCTATTTGTGGTGAAAACCAACACTACTCATCACCCTGAGCACACTGTCTCCATGATGATGGAAACATGATGCTGGAGGAATGCTTTCCTGCAGACTGAGGATGGAGCCAAATACAGGGAAATCCTAGGAGAAAACCTGTTACAGGCTTCCAAACACTTCAGACTGGGGTGGAGAGTAACTGTTTGTCTTGAGATTTGTAAAGCTGGTAGAGATATATCTGTAAGGACTCACTGGTTTAATTGCAGTAAAATATAGTTTTGCCATGTACTGATTCATCGGATGGGGGATAAAAAAAACAACAACATATAAAGCAATGAATAATGTTCCTTCTTCTTAATTATGAACCACTTTATGTTGCTCTGTAACATAAATTCCTTGTAAGGTACTTTTAGATTTTTGTTGTTGTAATATGACAGAATATGGACTAGTTTCAAGGAGCTATAATTTTTTTTGCAAAGTACTGGGAATATTCTTTGCTCACTGCATGTAAAACACACAAAAATATCACTGACCTGCTGCTTGAGTACAAAACTCCACTCCAGCTTCTTTCCTTTCCCTCTGCTCCAGAGGCAGCTGCCATGGCACCTGATGGGGCTGTGCTACCACTTGGACCTTGTACACGGTTAGGGGATTCAGGTTGTGGAACCGTAGTCTATACCTTCCAGGCTTTACCACAGCATGCTCCGCCCCATCTAAGTACACAGTGTGACTGTAGTTACTGTTGCTAGGCAGCCAGGAGAGCTCGGCAGTGTCCCGCTGGATGTCGTCCACCCGCATGGCGCATGGTGCCACCACCACATTGGCTCCCACCAGGACGGTGCAACGGAGCTCATCCGACAAGCCGCGGTCAGTGACGCTCTGCACGGAGACACGATAAATGCAGCTGTCCAAGTCCAGCTTTTCCAGCAAGCACTTGGTCCGGCCGGTGTATGGTATACTGGCACGAAGCTCCCCATCAACTAATACGTTGTAGCCAGAGATGTTCCCCCAGCCCAAAGGCACTACTGGAGGCTCCCATGCCACAATAACACTACGTGCCAGCTGCTTGATGAGGGTTATCTTACGGGGGTAAGGCACAACATCCTCAGCTAAGTCCTCAGGATCTAATGTCCCCCCTGTACCATTGCTACATGGAACAAGGGAATTACTTGAGCCTAGCATTACATCCTGGGAGGCACCTCCATCCACGGTCATCAGGGCTAGGGATGTGTGTTCCAGAGGACCTAAATCTTCTGCTCCCTCTCCGATTAGTTTCTCTTTATCCTGGACAAATTCCACAAAGTTGGAAGGAACAAGTCCTCTTTGACCATCCAGCAACTCCCCTGTCATGCAGAAAGGAGAAATATGGTTAAAAGAATTGCCTTTTGTTGAGACCAAAATTGCTCTTACATCTAGCAAATTTAGAGGTAACTTGATTTTATTTAACCACATATTTTATTTCTGGTAATAGATAAGTGGGATCTCTTACAAGATAATAAAGCAAAGTAACACAAAAAGCAACTGAAAAAAGCTATTATGTTTTACTCAAAAAATGGCATGTCATTAATTAGAATACCACTGGTATTTTGATGATGCATCTTTAGCAATGAGCTATAAGTACTCTTATTATGTATCAAAACTAAAATATTCCCTTTTCAACTTAACTTTTGGATTGAATGGAATAAGGAGAACCCCATATTCCATACATGACCTGCTCACTTAAGGAAAATATGAATAAGTTTTTATTTTGGTTACTTGTAAATGATATGCTTCAGTTCAGTAAAGCTCATCATGTTCCTTCAATCCCTGTTTCCACAGGAAGCTTGGGAAACCTTAAGACCATTTGCATCTGTCTGCTCATGTGTACATGAATCAGTGTGTTTTCCTTGTGTGTGCCGATGATTAATAATGCCAAGCCCCGTTGGATTAGTCATCATACTAAAAGGGGCCAAGGTCCCATCTTGTCAACAGCTTGGTCTGAGGCCCAAGTCTCCCTCCTCTGTTGTAAATACAGAGCTCCTCCACAATGTCGTGCGATCCGACCGCCCACGGCTAATGAATCACTGCAGATGAGTCCCACCATGACTACGACATGTCTGCATCGGCTGCACTATTGGTAGCTAGGGGGATTAGGACTGCCTCTGACGGAGAAACCTTCATAATTCTACAGAGATTAGAATGAGAGTCATTCCAATCAGCAGTTGTGAGAAAGTATGCAGAAAGTTGTTCATAGTGACATCCGGCGCTGACAAAGCAGAGGTCAAAGAATGAACACAGCCAGAAGGAAGATGATGGACACTTTTAGTATGAGGGTGACAAGTCATGCAAACTGCCATGTTGGAGCAGGAGACGCCTTTGCACCAGTGCTTACAGAAATGACTTCATCAGCATTACAGTTATTTTATATTAAGGTCGGACAATGTTGGATTGTTCTTGTACAACAAAGTTAATTAATTATAACAAAGGAAATGAATTTCATTGTAAATGTGATATATGTACTTGCACAAAGAGTACTCTTTTTGCTGCAAAGGAGGCAGGTCTTTTTCAAAAGGTCTTTCAATTTTTTTCTTTAAATTTTGGCAGCAGTTTCCCTTATATTAGTTTGTTTCTTTCTAATCAGTCCAGCATGAAAAGAAAGAGGACATATTTCATCTGGAGAAGTAGTTTGATGACAGTTGTTAGGTGTTTCAGAGATGGACAAGAAGCCAAGTAAAGAGAACTGGCAGAAGTTTTCTGGCATGGTGTGCCGATAAACCTCTTATATCTTGAATATGAGCAAAACAAAATAGATGATTGCATATTTCAAGAAAAACAGAAGAACAATGAGGTCATCTACAAGAAGAAACAGAGCAGTCTGTACTATTTGAGGAAGCTTAGATAATTTAGAGTTGTGGCAAGATGCTACATATCTTATCTAAGTTTGTTGTGGATAATGTAATCTCCTTTACCATCATTTGTTGAGGTAGCAGCACCAGAGGCAGAATCTGAAACAGGTAAGCAAGTTGACAAAGAAGGATGGTTCCGTGTTGGGGACCACAGTGGAACAACTGAAAACCGTGGTGCAAAGAAGGATGTTTTAGAAAATGAGTTGGCAACCTTGAGCATCCATCATTAGACTGTCATCCAGCAGAGCGTCAGTCAGAGACTTCTTCAGAACCACTGCGAGACAAACTGCTACAGGAGATCATTCCTGTCTACACTCACCAGCATCTACAACAACTCTTTGAAGAAACTTGGATCATATTAGTTAAAACAGAATGTTGTTTCTCTTTGGAATTAAAATAAGTAAGTATTTTTGATTCAAACTGAGAAGTTAGGACAGTTTGCACCAAACCACATTCACATGTCACCTCAGAGGTATTTATTTGCATTATTTTAGTCAGAACACAATTTATCCTCAGCCATACTGAAGAAACATCCACGGATCTCATGTGCGTCCGCTTAATCAGCGTTATTACCTAAATCTCTCTCGAATATAAAAAAAAAAAGTTTAATGAATAAATTTTCTGATATTTCAGATCCCAGAAGAACATGTGGGCAAGAGCTGAAACATTGTGTGTAAGCCACCAACAAACCTGACTCAGACCAGTTCTGTCGGGAGAAATGAGCCAAAATCCAAGAACATTGTCAGACATTTGTTTAAAGATACTGAAAAAAAAAATCAGTATCACAACCGAGAATATATGTCAACCAATTACTAAATAAATGTATATTAAGTTCTGAATTTAATAATATGCACTTATTGTTTTGTTATTGAGCAAAAAGAAGTAATTGAAGCAGTCCTGACTCTTTTAAAACATGGGGCATTTCGTCAAATTTAATGTCACATAGTTACAAAAATGGTTATGTGTTTTTATGCAATGTGTATATAAAACTTTATTTCACAGCCAACATCAAAAACAGCTTAAAAGTAGTTATTTCCCTCTCACCTTCATAAAAGCCATCATCATCCATGTCTCCATACACATATAGATATTTTCCAGCCACAAGAGGGAGCTCTGCTTCAGGATGTTCATTCGGTCCATCATAGGGGTTATAACTTAGCAGAGAAAAGACACAAGAATATGTTGAGTTTAGTGAGTGAAGTGCCAAGACTGCAGACCTGAAAATCAAAACAAATATTTTGATGCTTGTCTCTTTCACCTGTAACGGGCAGTGCAAAGGCGGACCTGGCCTGTGTAGCGAGGTTTGGACCTTGATGATGAGCTTGTCTCATCCTCCATCTATTGATCAATCACAGTCACAAGTCATCATTTCCACCCAGAAGAAGGGTTGCAAGTAGCTTTATTTTAAGCACTTAAAACGATTGTCGAGAGGTTCATGTGACGATGTGGTGTCCCTCACTCTCACCTCTGATGGGGGATGCTGTCGGGGGCTGCTGGAGCGATCCGTTGTTACGGTGCTGGATTTGACAGACAGCAGTTTGAATGCTTCGCTGTCTTCAGTCTGCAGAGGGCAGGGTGAAAACTGAGGGATCAGAAGCTGAGCATTTGGTGCACTCTCATCACCTAGGAGACATTGATTTAAATAGCAAATAAAGAGAGAATGTCATTCCTCATGCACCCCATTAACTGTTCATTGCACACCTATTGATTCAGTCGTTAAGCAATGGCACAGTTAACACCTTTCATGCCAAAAGGCTTTTGTGCCTCGGTCAGTAATTACCTTCTGCAGAACATATGTGTTCTTAAAAATCTCTCAGTGAAATAAGGCTTATTTAGTCAAATGCAAAGAAGTCAAAAAGTTTTATTCTTTGAGAAAACTATAAGACACAACTTTTTCAACATCTGTGGTTAAATGCATAAAAATGCATGAAAAATGGGTGTAATTGCAGTTGTAGTTGTTTTGACTTAGTATCTGACAATGAAAGTGTATTACAAGAAAAGTTTGGCAAAAAGTAAATTAAGGAGAACATATAAAGTGTAATATCTACACACCAATTCATCAAAGATCAACAGCATCTGAAAGTTTTCTATTTCACAGAACCGACACAGTACATAACAGATGGATTAAGGTAAAAGCTCTTGAGGAATCACCTGGCTGGTTGTGATATAGTTGTTTTTGGTATTAAATTATATAACATGACCAACTCCTAAATAGAATATTAGATTACCTTGCATAGATTCAGCTTTAGAAACAGACTTAAAAAGTCTTCTATGGCGGGTACAAAAGTCATTTGTATATTACATGTTCATGCACACTTATGTCATTACAATATATTTGTCAATACCTGGATTAAATCATAGATTATTATTTTCTGGTTTGACAAAGAATACTTACTTGTGAAATGACATATGCATAAAGAAAACTTTAAAAGACTTATGGACACCCCCAGAAAATACTGCTGTAACAACGTCTTATTCATTGCAATAACAAAAATAAATAAATAAATTAAATACCTACAGTTCGTAATAGTGTTATAAATATTTTTTTATGATACATCAAACATCTGATTAACAAATACACAACTAAAAGCTTTGCTTTTAAGTGAAATCATTAACAAACCTTTCTGCAACCGGGCTTCAAATTCATCAATGACTTGGGAGAGTTTCTCCTCTGGTGACACCAAGGTAGAATTACTATTAAGGAACTCCACAGGCTCTGATTGCAAACGGATGTTTGGCAGCCTTTTCGACAGCTGGTGGAAGTGATCAGTGTGTGACCTGCATTTCTGCTCCAGGTCACAAAGTTTGACCTTTGACAGAAAGGAGAGAGAACAGAAATAAGTGTACTGAACCATAAGAAGAATTGAGGAAAATAATGATTTATCATATTTGATAATACATGTGCCATCCCTCTAAAGTCCTACTCCTCCTAGTCAATGCTGACTGAATATGGCCTAATTATAAAAGAATTAAAATAAAAATTCTACAATCAGAGTATATTGTTACAGTGAGAAAATAAGAGTAGAGCATCTCAAGGTTTTTCTCAATAGCTATGTTTTAATGATGCTACTGACAAAATGCATAAAATGCATAAATGGTTGCATATTGGTTTAACATAAACAAATATGTGGAAAAGACTGACTCAACAAATTTGTTGCACAAGAAAAGTACTAACTCACTCACTGCAGAATTTTAATTTCTGTCATGAATCTGTTTGCCTCTCCAGTAGAATCATATTAATGTGCTTCTGATGACTAATACATGGCCTCACTTGAACTGCACTAATAGAAGCATGAGACCCAGTGTCACAGCAGGATTTAGGGTAAAAGGAGAAAATTATTTTTCTGTAAATGAGGCTGTAGCATATTTAGAAAACTTTAATAAAATACAAAGCAGATCAGTTGACGGATCAGCTGAGGGACACCATTAATACGACATGTCACACCACATGCTTCTAAATGCAAAACAATTAAATGTAGTAGAAATCTAAAGGATGTCAGTTTTAGATCAATTGCATCTCCCAAGATCCGTTTCATGGATGAAGATACTGGACATTACACCTGTACTTTTCTAAAAAAGTTATACATTTATTGAACTCAGAAAAAGAACTTACAAAACAACTGGTCAAAAATAAACTAAATTCATAGTTTTCTTGCTTTGTTTTTGGGAGCAAAGCATGTTTGCTAAACAAGTTTTACAATTTCAAAGTTTTAAAGCTGTTTTATTAACATTTGTGGTGCACAATAACAGATTTTATTCCAATGTCTCGGGAACATATCTAAGCTCGGAGTGAACCCAGAAGGAAAGGTGTGAATGCAGAATGTGCTCAGAGTCAAATCTATAGGTTTGTGCCACTTGAAGATTCGGTGTGCATGAGAGATGGCAAAACATAATAAAGCTAAATATTGTTCATGTGATGTCTGTAACCTACAAGTGACTGTAGCTCTTTGGGAAACGTGCGATTAAATTAAATGCAACTAATGGCACCTTCAATACACTTCAGATTCACTCTCAATTTCAGGTTGGAAGGTTTCATCTGTTGATTTTAATGTTAAAATTAAGTTGGAACACTTTTTTATCAGTCTTACTTCTGTACAAAATAACAAGCCTTTTAGATTTTTAAGTAACCTGCCTTATTATATTGTCAGCAGAGTCATTATGGTGCACTGAAAGCCCTGCGCCTCTGCTGTCAGCAGTTTATTGTATTTACTTGACAACTAAGAGAGCTTTTGTTAAGCTTTGCTTCCAGCATGGTTTCCATAGCAGTATTGGTCAGTGAACTGTTTTGTGCCTGAATACGGCTACAAGATGCATTTGCATGAATTATCCCATGGATATTCATGAACCCTAGAGAAAGAAGCTGGGTAGATTTTGTTGATTTCCTAAATATTCATATAGCACCATCAGCAGAAATAATTAATCTTCTTTTAAGTCCTGACTTATATTCCTCCTCCATTTTGGATATTTTTTGAAGACTTTCTTTATGAAGAAAAATGGAGTAGCAAATCCTCAACTTGATTATTATATGGGAAGGTGATTGTCTTCATATACATATTCAGTAGAATAGACAAAGTTTCTAATTGTAGAAAGAATTAAGATGTTTTTTCTTTGTTTTCTTTATGTCTTTTCAAGAGTCTTGGAGTGATTTTATAGAACTGTATCTCAGAAGTTTTTCAGTATTAAAACCACATCAATCACAGAAAAAGAAATAAAACCTTATTTATGAGACATGATAACTATCTGTACCTCTAATAACTGTATTGCTTCCTCATGCTGTTGATCAGTTTGATCCCAAGCCTGCAGAGAACACACAGAAACACAAAGACAGCTGACACTGTGATCACAGTCTGCAAGGTGGACTAGACATCACACAGCTGACATTCTGTCTACGCGGTACTGTGGACGAGCCTGAAAGAGGCTCACTGGTTCGGCGGAGCGTTGGTCGTTGAGTAGCTGCCTGCTCCTGATGGCACTGCTCCAGTGAGGGCTATCTGATCTATTCTTAGGTATGTTAAAACTTTTGAATTCATTTTAAGGAGCTTGAAGTTTTTAAATGTAAACAAAATCACATTATGTGACAGAACAAATCATTTGGGATAAGTAAGGAACTATTGTTGGTTTGACTGCAATCACCAAATTTATGTTAAATAAAACCAGAGGAACAGAAAAATCTACAATCTCAGCCACTTTTGTTGGCACTCCTGGAACAAAACTTAAAAATGTTTAAGATAAATTCATCTTTTTATTTCTTAGATGAGAATAAGATTAGACTTTTAGGCAACTCAATCGAGCTCAGTTTCATAATCTACAAAGAATAAATGCGGAAATACACTTGTGTTAAAAATGACCATCCCCAAATTGTTCCCACTAAGTTAATTGTCCACAATTTCTTGGCTTGACATAGCACAGCACTGAACATTTCCGTACGTGGAACTAAGTAACCTGCCTTATTATATTGTCAGCAACTCAAGATAAATACTCCTATAAATTAATCCCACCATCAACAAAATCTATCTCGGATAAATTATAATGTTAGAAATTCTGTTTTCCTGTCAACTACCATACCCAGACTGACACCACTATATCTGAAACTCTAATTTAATTGCAACAGGCATGGGGATCCACATAAAGTTCTCTACACATTGTTCTTAAACTAATTTTTACGTCACATGAATTTTAGGGTTCAGCGGCAATTGACTCTGCAAAGCATTTGCTGGCACCACTCTTGGATTTTGTGTTGTTCCAGCAAACAAACTATAGACAAAAACTGATTGTTCTGAAATTGATCACTACATAGAATAACAAACTGGTTATTCGCAATGTTCAATGTCATTCATTTCCAAAATGGAATGAAAATACATCAAATACTACAGATTGAAAAATATCAACGTCCCTATTAATCACAGAATCAGTCACTGATGCTAAACTTGTATTAGCTATCGAAGTCGAGATTGGACAGCCTTCCGGGATCTTTTTTATTTTCTAGTAGAGTGCCATTGACTGTGTGACAGTGAATCAGCAAAAAAACCGGCTACTAATACATCAATAACTGAACAAGGAGCTTTGGCATGAAGTTGCTGCCCAAAATCAATACTGGAAAAAGAAACAAGTTTTCAGTGATTAATTCTCTGCTTTGTTCTTACTCATGGCCATACCTTTTGTAGCTGATTGATCTCTTTCTGTTTGCTGTGAAAGGCCACCAATGCTTGCTCATATTCTGTCTGCAATTGTTGTTTTAGCTGCAAGGCTTCATGCATATGCTGTGGGGACATAGAGAGAGAGAGGAATGATGCTATTTAGAGATGGTTTCTGACAGCAGGTCCAAAGATTTATCAAGCAAGAGTCTTTCTTCACCATTAGTGGCAGAAAAGTTGACTTTCCAAGCCTTAGAGGTTATCAAGAAGAGGCTAATTATGTCACTGACCCAAAACAGTTGGTGCATTTTTCTATCCACTGGATACTGAGGGATTTGCTATTAAAATACTGCCAAAGCACAAACTAGTTGGCATCACATTGTTTTCAATAAAATTCATGAAGCCCCAAAGAGTAAAGTCCAGAGTATGTTATCCATAAAGCTGTACTCAGTCAATGTGTACAAAAACAGTGTGTGTATTAATTGACAGATATTACACTTTATGCTCTTGAAAGCAATCCAATAAATCCTGGTATTATTTTCTCATTACCTGTGTCTTTGGTTTGCTTTTGGTTGGCGTGTAGTCAAACAAAAAAAGAGCATAATAGCAAACCAGCTGATCTGAACCTGCTATTACATGGTTTGCTTTCTAAGTAATGTGACCAATGTGCCAGGTGTGGCCATAGTGTATGAGACACAAGAGTTAAATAATATCTCAGTTTATTTACTTACCTAAGCCTTTTAAACCTCAAGTTTCAAACATGGAACCTTTTCTCTCCTGTAATGGTATGCATCTATTAAACTCCTTATATTTAGAACATTTGTTAGAATTTTGTGTAATTTTAGTATTTTAACAACCACAAAATAAGAAGGCACTGCACTTCAGGCAGGCACTGGCTTTGGTCTATGTGATATAATTTATACATTCCTGCACATTCCCCATTGTACTCTGAAATGTTACTGCGGGGGAACATAAAGCAAATAAAGACAGCATTCAGCAGTTTTTGTCTTTTGCTGCATTATTTAGCTTTCATCTCTTACATCCTTCACAGTACATTTGGAACCGACTCAGTCAAAGATGTCTTGCATGATCATTCAGGCTCATCCTTTATCCACCCTTTGCCAAATTGGCCAAGTCATGTTGACACACTATCTCGTCTCAAAGTCACAACCAGCAACAATATCTTTCAGAAAACCAAGTTAGGATCATAAGATTTTCCTTCACATTTAGGGAAAATGGCTGAGAAAGCTCTAACATTTAGAGTTTTACCCTCATGTTCTCTCTCATTCTAATGAAAAGAAGAAAAGCTTCTTTACCTCCCAGAGTGACTTCAGGGTGTCCTGAGCATGCAGTCACTTGCATAATCAGAACAGCTCTAAGCTGCTGTGGAGCTTTGGTGAAAACAGATTTTTTTAAAAACCTTGTTAATGCCTGCATCCTACATTTTTAGCAGAAATAGATAACGAGAACTTTCACTGATCAAATTGAGTTTATCTGGGTAGATTACTGATGTGAATTTTCATCACATGTTCTTCACATATAGTGATGAAAATGTAACATAACCTAATTGGGTTGTTTAAAAAGCTTTTTGTTACCAGATTGGATCAGCTTCAAAACAAGATTCATAACGCCTCATCCCAATTTGGTTTAAACAAGGAAAAATTTCACGTGAGCTTTTTTTTCATGTTGTGCTTCCATTATCTCTGCTTTCTCCACCCACACCGCCCCATGTAATTTTCTCTAAATAGTGTCTTTGTCTCTGTAATCAATGCTAAATGAGAAAGTGACAAACCTTTCATTGCTGTATCAGGGAGTAGGTCAGCTTTTCTCATATGGGCACATTTATCTTTCGAATATCCTGACAAACAGACAATCGATGGGAGATGCAGGGAGACGAGGATTTGTAACGACAGAGCCCCGCACCGAGTGGTGAGACTGTTTGATTACTATTGGAAGATAGAAACACAATAAAAGAAGAAGCCTCTTCTTGAAGTAAGGTGGGAATTTTGGGGTTTCAACAAAATGAGAAAATTGCAGTGCTTTTGTACAATTTGTGCAGTGTGGGAGCACTCAAAGACTGACACCCCTTAAGTTAATGATGTCAGTGAATATCTGATTTAATGCCACACCTTCAACTCAATGGGTTTTTTTGTGACACTATGGAAAAAAACTTCTGTTTTAATAACTATATGCAATTATAAACACCACATGCCATATGCAAAATCTTCAGTTTGCATCAAGTTGTTTTAAAAATTCTCAAAAAAAACAATTCCTACCTATGACATCAGGTTAGCATATAAATGTTCTAGCTATTCATATTCTCTTTGCTAAGATAAACTAAAACAGTGGACCTGAAAGGACCTGAAAGGTGGTTCAGCACCATGTTCACTCACAAATAGCTGAACTCTGTGAACACTTGAGACCCTCTTGAAAATACCTGTCATCTGGTAAAAACATCTGGTAGACTGTCCAGATGGTACAGTCTACAGTCCAGATGGTACTGTCAGATGGTACAGTCTTCCATCTGGTGTGTAGACTCCAGAAAGAAGTCTACAGTCTTCCCCATTTCCCCAGCCAATCAGCATCAAGGCAAAATACATGGTGCTCTGGGATTGACAGCTCTGCATCCACCAACCAATAGCATGTGAAGTGTCTTCGGTTTAAACAAATGTATTTCAACTTCCCAAGCTGCATTTTCTTTCAAATATTTTAGATGTCAATATGTTTGGGCTCCACAAATAAATTTGAGTTACATTTCTCAGAAAATCTGCAAATAGGTGAATTTATAAGTAATGAATTGTGAACATGCAGTAATCTTCAACTAATTAAATGAAAATTATGCTAAAATGACACAATTTTTTACAAATACCCCAGAAGGGATAATGGTTGATAATGGTTTATTTTAATTCAATTTTCCAAAATAATGTCAAGTGCCACCAACTACCTTCAGAAAGATCCTCCCAGGATTTTTGTGTTCATGTATTTGAAATCTAGACTTTGTCTACAGAGTTGAACAGAATGGGTTTATTTTCCAGTCATAGATACTTGATGTTAGACAGTTTAATTGTGTCAAATGTGTCAACACAGTCAGAGGTCATTTAATCTCTTAAAACCCTATTTGATTTCTTGTGATTTCAGTATGTCATGAACAAACGTAGCTTGTCAATAAGACACAGAGTTAGGTACCACGTTTTACCTTTAGCGCATGTTCCAGATTTTCAACTTTGGCCTGGAGTTGGTTCCTTTCCTTCTGGGCCTCGTCTTTCTCCCGGCTCACTGTGGCAAACGTTTGTCTCAGCTGGACATAGTCGCATCGCACCTGGAGGGACATGAATCAAACAGAGCTCAGACATTAGACAGGAAAGGATGAGAAATAATTAGAGAAGTTAAAGTAGCAATCTGCAAATGGTTTATTTTAATTCAAAAAAAAGAATGCCAGAAACTGACAGTTATGAAATGTAACCAACAGATTTGTTTTTAGAATGGAAAAGAAAAAGAATGTGTGTTTTCTAAATATTGCTTTTGCACCAGATCTATGTTTTAAATTCATAATAAATGACATGTTCTATCTTGTTGGTCTGAGGTTTGATTTTTGAGTTCACAATCTGAAGAGAAATTAATCAGAACATTTCCATTTATCCTTGATGACTTTGAGCTGCTGACTTGAGCACACAACGTCTCGCTTTAATATCAGCCTTGAGCTGGTTCTTCTAAAGGTGGCCTTACAAGATTGAGCTGAACCAGCCGTCAGCCAGGCAACCTTCATCTTCTCATTAATTACCAAAAAACTGAGGAGAGCACAATAGATAAGCTCGCACACCTGGAGCGCACAAAATTAGACAGCTGCAAAGAAAACAAGCTCATTTATTTTGTGGGATTTGTGACAGTAGCGGGAACTGCTGAAGGGAAGTAACTCTTCTGATGCTTGCGTGGACAAAAAAGCAACAGATTACCATTAATTAGCATTTATTATGATTAATACTATCAATATTTTACATGTTGTTTTTGTTAGCGATACATATTCCAGATACGTCATGTGTATACACAAAAATAATGAGAAAAGTTATTAAACGTGAATAATGTTTTGCACTCCTACATAGTGGAATGGTTATATTTCACACATCAATGATTCTTAAAAATCAAGCGATGGTTCCATACATTTGAAGTATGTTACTGATTGAACTCTTCCACTGTGGTTTTTGTTGAAAATCCTTTATCATATCACCTAAACCACGCACTTTTTTCTAGCTATCATTGAGCTCCACTTGTCAAACAAAAACAAAATCCTAAGCCTCCTTAGCAAATGTGTTTTTTCTAAGTAAAATACTGAGAAACAAATGAATGTTAAACTCATTCACTTAATTGTGAAGTGCACAGGAATCAGTAACATCCAGTTGCATAAACTGCAAGCCGAATCCTTTGAATTCACCACCCACTCTCTCCATATAAGTGAGGCATAAAATACAAAGGGCATGCTCTAAAATCTGTTGAGATCTGCACACATGTAAAACAATTGCTGCAATCCTCTATTTTATTAAAACTGTCAAAAAACATTGACATACTGGTTAGTCACCAAGTTTTTTTTCTATAACTCTCTCAACCATTTCCATCACCACTGTCTTAATATCTCAAGTATTAAGATCTTCTATGACTTTTTCAATAAGAACGTATCATCCAAACAAGGTTCTTTCCACAGTCATCCCTACAAGCCTCCTGCCCTCCCGCTACAAATCTGGCAGGAAAGAGCATGCTTTTAGCCCCATTTCTATTTTGTTTCCCTGCCCACCTTGTCTGTGCACAGATGGCATCATTAATGGAGCAAGAGGTCTAAGCAGGGCTTCCTGGACACATGTCAACACCCCCCTACACCGCTCCACCCGCATTCTGAAAGTCACTTTTATTGCCAAAGCATCCATCTCAGTCTGCCATTGTCTCCATTACAAGACTTGTGGTTGTAGTTACAAATCCAGGTGCAGTGGCTGAAGGTTTGGGTTAATGTCGACAAAGATTATTAAAAGAGAAGATGGAAAAATAATGATATAAGGAACCCAAACGAGTATTAAATGAAAATGTTTGTAACCTGATGATGACCCCACTGGTCCAGTCATATTGATCTGCGGGAATTTCTCTTGTCACTAATCCATTTATAAGGTATTGTGTAAGTCATATGAAGATACACAACTACCTCGCTAAGACTCTCAAATAGGTATATGATTCTCAGAATGATTAACTTGTGGTAATGATTAACTTACTACAATTTCACACCATCAGAAAACATTGTCCACTAATATAAAACTAAAATGAATAGCATTTATTTAATTCTCTAAGCATGGAATAGCAGTTGCTAATTAGTCTAAAAGTTTCAAATAACACATGAACCATAGGTTGGCCAACAACAAATGGATGGTGTAGCTGTATTACTCTGATTTTAATCTAAAAGGGAGGTATTTTCTTAAAAACCTCCCATTCATTTGACAAGGAAGCAAAGGGGAAAAGGGAAAGATAGTCTGATGGTCCTATTCAGAAGTTGCACATTTTATCTAAATTATGTTCTGAGCAGTTTTTCAGGAGAATAGTAAATATTAGATAACAAGAGAAAATGGTCTGTGCCATGAAACTGGTGATGAAGATCCAGAAAGTGGATTTACCTTTTTAAAGTGGAAAAAGCAGAAATGCAACAATAAGGCAACAATAGTTCTTACTGCAGAAAATCATCAAATTTTTCTAGTTGTGCTACTAAGAAATATATTAATTGTAATTTTGGTTGGGATACACAGATATGAAAAATAATATAGAATAGATACTCACTCAGTTTAATAGTAGTTTTCAGTTGCAGAATATAATGCCCTGCTGTTTTTCTTGTTCTGCTATTTATAAAACAGTCCAAGTGTAAAACCTGCTATTAGCTTGTAAATTAGGCAGGCTATGGATAGCCAGGCTGCAATCAGCAGTTTAATAGATATGCTGCCTGCAGCTGCCAAGTGTATTTTAATACAGCATTACCGAAGCATGAGTGATGGGTGATGCTGCTTTTTGCTGCAATCCATGAGTCCAGAAATATTTAGGAGCAGATTTATTTTTCTGTCTTTCCAACTGAAAAGGAAATCTGTATTGATTTTCATTCAACCAGCTGACTAGCAGAATTTAATGACATATAAGAAAGTAACAGCATTTTATTACTTTGTAAAGCTGGTGAAAGTTTCAGTCACTTTGGCCCTTTTCCTGTTTTTTTTTTTTTTTATGAAAATAACCTTAAACAATTTGACTGGAAATTTTAGCAGTTCTGAAACTGAAAGCTTGGCTTTGTTTCCTTGATACTAAATCTACAACAATATATCTTATCTTCATCACAATATTAATATTTGTGGTATTTTAATTGCAATGGACTTCCAGGACAGACATTTGGTACAATCAAATGCATGCAAAATAGCAATAGCATTTGCAAGTATCAGCATTCATATTCATGCTAAAGCTCATATAGAATATTGGGAACATTCTGATAAAAAAAAAATGAAAGAAAAGAGTCTGTTTGGGTAAACAGCAATTGATGCAGTTGTCACAGTATTAAAGTTTGACACTTTGCAATAAAGTATTGCAGTTGCACTTTTTCCTGCAGTTGCCACTTGATACTGATCCTGGTCCAGGCCCATGTAAAATAATAAATATCTTCCAATTGATGATCTTCTAAGGTGTGTGTACTTGTAGTGGATGATTTGTACATAAAATGTGTGAACCTCCCCACCTGCTCATGCTTGGATGCTCTAAGCTGGTGGGTGATCAGCTCGAGGTTCAGACGATTTCTTTCCTGCAAGGCAGCATGGAGCTTCGCTTTCTGGAAAAAGAAGAAGAGCCAGCACCAAGGGAGAAGTTTACCATCTTGTCATATTATCACAGGAACCTTTTTTACTCTAATGATTTCGTGTCTAGCTCTATAATATATGCAAGCCACACAGAACCACTCCGTCTTAAAGTGATTATATAAGCGACAGATGAAAGACTCAGGTTAGTGCCGATCCCTCCCTCCGTCTCCTACCGTGTTTGTGCGCGTTAATGTGTGTGCATGCAGAAAAGCTTTTCTCTAAGATCCTGTCTGGGGTACAAAACACACAGCTGTATGCTGTCACCCTCTATTTGGTATGTGGCACTGGCAGTTGAAGAGGAAAGCTAAAAAAGACAAGAAAATTGGAATATGAGAATAGGAGAGGAAGGGGTGGATAGATGGAGGGAAAGAGGATGACAAAATTGTTTAAAGTTAGATATTAAAACCAAAATAATGACAGCCTGTCAGTCAAAAGCAAAGAACGTAAACAGGTGCATAAGACTCTTGAGAGGAAATTAAATTGCAAGGCGTAAAAAGAGGATTGAGAAGTGTGTAGAACCTGTCTGCTCTTTCCACAGTTCACATTCACAGTCAGAAGTTGTCATGCTGCTGGTGCTGCAGGTACTCAAGCATTATGTAATTATGCCAGACTCAAAGTAGGGCAGCGCTCTCCTCCTCTCTCAGCTATGAGCATTCAAGAGTGATTTCATTGTGACTGACCATATCCTTGCACCTAATACCACTTCATTCTGCTGATGGTCATTCTCAGTCGTCCACTGTTGAACCGTGCCATTAATAGGAACAGTCAGCTCTGTTCCCTAATCTGCTTTTAAGCAACAGGAGTCAATAACAGACAATCTTCCTGGTAATACAGACAAATCAAACAAGCAGTTTGTACTTTTTAACATGGATTCTTTAAACTACAAGTTATTATCCCTAAGGATAAATAGAATAGATTATTAAAATGAAGGTTTCATAGTCTATCCATATTTATCTGCACCCCAGGTAAAGCTTTCAGATAAATAAAGTTTTAATGCAGTAGCACAGTATTTCACTGAAAAACATGGAAAATTCCAGCCTATAATTGGATCACATTTATTCCAATGTTAGGAAAAAACACTGGTACCACACTTATGGGCACTCCTGCTGTTAAATTTACGCAGCCCTATTTTCTTCTATAATGTGTCTCAAGATTAGAGCGTACAGAAAGAGGGATATTTGATCCTTTCCTTTTATATCGCTTCTCTAAAGCTTTAAGGATTCCTGGGTCTCTTTCAGCGCTCTCTCTAACATACTCTTGCTGCTGCGAACAGGATTGTGGTATGAAGTCATAAAAGAGGGTTGATTTTGATTTGTAAAATCAACCCTCAACTGATTTGGCCATGTTCTGGATCATCATCATCCTGCTGAAAGATGCAGGGATGATTCGTTTTTAGGTTTTCTTATGATCTTAATTGGTTTGTACATGTAAAATGTCCTGATATTTCAAAAGATTTCTTGATGTCCCATAGTTTAAAGATTTCCAGAGACTTTGGAAACCTTTAGGGGCCGTGATGTAGATACCAATCTACATCATCATTGATCGTCAAGCACCTGAATGGTTTGTTGCTGAAAAACTCAGCATATATTTTAAAAAGTGCTTCAGTTAAATTTAATTTATAATTATTGTAAGGGAGTCAATAAGTTAAGCACAGGTGATATCGGGATTTTTCTTACCTAAATGGACATTAGAATTATATTTAAATTATGTTATAAGAAGAAGGTGGTCATTTGGTCAGTAAACAGGTAGCAAAAGAGAAGAAGAGAATATAATTTGTAGTTTCTCAAATTATAGCTGCACTTTATTACTTAATCAGTGTAGAACTATTTTGTCACTGAATCTGTATTTTTAGTCATTTGTATGCATTTTAAAACAAAAACGTTCTTTTGTTTGGAATTAGGCTGTTCTTCAAATAGTTTTTGGATTAGTTGGATTAGTTGAGCCAATTTCAAATTGGTTATTGTGTAAGAGTTTACCTTCATTAGCATGGAGATTTAAAAAAAAAGTATGTCACATTTTATCAACACTTTTGTAAAGATGATGCATTGAGCTGTTTTTCTTTTTTTCTTTTTTTTTTTGTTTGTCAAACACGAGCTGCAGTGAGCTACAGATTTCAGGATGCACTCGGCAAAACCGAATCCAATATTTTTCTGCGAAGAAAAGATTGAGCAGCTCAGGGGCTTTTGATAAATTTATCAGTATATTTGAGGAGCTCAATAAACCGTCCGAGCTGAGAGAAAAGGAAGACAGTAATGGGAGGCAGTTGTGCTCATTCATCTCTTCATGTGCAGCAGAAATTCTGAAGAAAGACAGAGTAAAGCCAAAACATTGGCAAGGGCAGGAAGACATGGAGCACACTGAGCAAGGCCAGTTTCTGCTCTGATTGTATAACTGTCACTGCAACAGAGTCAGTACAAACTGCAGAAAATCACACTGAGCTGAAGTAGTAATCACAGCGGATATTGTACCTTTCCCTTTAACTCTGAGTAAGTGGGTGTGGCAAACCTCAAGCTATCAATCAACCTTCTTGTCCAGTGAAAATAAATTCAGTTGAGATTATTTCAGCACACGCACAAAAAAAAAATGTGAATAAAGCACTGCACAAAAAATGACCTTTAAAAATAATTTTTTTAAGGGCCGCGAGTATGATGACTGTTTCTGTACTTCCTCTCACTTCCAGCAAATCACACATTCACAGCTTCACTTAGCGCTCTGTAACGTCTTGTAAACACTGTTAGACTGCGAAGCCAAGGGACACACACATTTCTATGCCAATTCAGACTTCAATACGCGCAAATCAACATAGGAATCTGTTTCGAATATTTAAAGTAGGCGCTAACAAGGGTGTCTCTTTAGGAAAAAGCACAACAGGGACTCCAAGTGAAAATTGTTATGTGTGAATCTTTGCATGGTTGTGAAATTTGAGATCAATATGTGCATTCAGAGAGAGCACACAGGCTTAGAGACATACAAATCAACAGTACTAAAACCTAATTCACTATGACAACCTCTGTCTTCCTTCATCTTTCTTCTGCATCTATATGCTTACAAACCCTGTGCGGTTCATGCACAACCCCAATAAGAATTTTACACCCGTAACTGATAAAAAAAAACTACATCTGCTCACAGTGGACAATCCCCAGGAGGTTCTATGCATCTATGCTTCATTCCGGTCTGCCTTCACATTTATCTTACAGAAGTGCAGTGATTCTATTCTTACTGCTGTTTTGAAGCATTAAGCATTTAAAAATTGTATATGCTTTATGTCTCATAATTTGTTTTATTTAATTAAATCTTTTTAAAGAAATGTTAATTATTTCAAATTATGGATATGTTAAGTATACATCAATAATGATTGGAGCAGGAATTTGATTTGACAATTCATTTTGTTGTATCTTTCCATTATGAGAATTGGATTTTAAGTTGGCTTTGTTTATAAATATGGGGCAATTCAAAAATGCACTAATATTATAACCATGACAGTCTATGTTGTTAGGATGAAGAATTGATTAAGGGTAAAATCCTGCTCACACTCATTTGTGGGATGCCTCCTGATGAGTTTAAATGGGCTTTTTGTGGGTTGAAGATTGCTGCTGTTTCCCCAGGAGGATTGTCATTAATTAGATGTCATGTACGAAACATTTTGTTCCAGTTAAGCCATGAGTGGAAAGATGCAGACAACATCGGCTTTCTTCAGTGTGGGCACAAGTAAAGCCTCAAACACATATGAAACTTGTGTCCAAATGATAAAAAGCATAAGTTTTGCAAAAAAAAAAATTCAAAATACACACTTAAGTTTGCAAGAAGACAGGATCTTGGCAGCTACATGTACATTTGTACAACAGCCTCTTGCCAGATTCTCAGAATGAACATAGTGTGTTTTTACTTTAAGTTAAGCTCAAGTTAAATGGCACATGTACTATACTAAATCTGCAACAAATCCCATATTAGGGACTTTTTTAACGTGTCAATGGAAACAAAATAACCCAAATTAAAATGTGGATTTTGGCTGTGAAGGGAAAAGTAATAATCAGCATTCACTCCCCTGCCAAATGACCCCACAGCAGACAAGGGTATTTATTAGATTCAGCTCTGACAGGCAGCCAGAGCACCCACGTACTCATGCAAATTATTGTGTGTGTGCTGCTTGTGAAGCACGAAAAGAAGCCAAAGATGGAGAAAAAAAAATGGTTTTAAAACAATACATTTCTGACCAAAATTTTATCTTACTAAAAATGTGAAGGAAGAACTCTCTTTGGTTTATCTTATCATAAAAATAGCCCTTTTAAAACACTGTATGGTATTTAGGTCCGGCACAGCATGCAGGTTTATTCTTCTTGTAATACTGCAGCATTTCCACCCAATTCCCTTGGGTGGAAATAGTTACTGAACATAAATCCAACTCTGTAAGGATGTCTGCAGCCATAAGTATACTGAGAGTATCACTGTTGTTGTGGTAATGGGACTGGAATTATCTGCTTGGGTTTATAAAAAACACAAACATTTATTCTTTTTGTGTGTGTGCACGTGTGTGTGTGCGTGTGTGTAATTTTGTTTGCTCTAGTGGCCCGTATTTCTTTGAAAGTAGGCTGACAGGAAAGAGGAAATGAAGAGAGGGCCAGACATGCAGGAGTCGAACGCGCGACAGCCGCATGAGGACTAAGGCCTCCATGCGTGAGTTGTGCTAACCCCCTACGCCACCACCACAGCACGCCCCCACAAATGTTTATCCTTGCATTATTTTTTTTTTTTTTTGTTTAAGTAGATAAATAAATAAATAATATCCATATAATCATTGTAAGATAGAGGGGTGTCACCCTCAATAGGTCAATAGGCAAGAAGCAGGGGACACCCAAACAGGGTCAGACTTCATCACACAGACATAAAGACGTGGAATAATAAATACACAAAGAGACACCAAAAGGAAAAGTGGCCATCAAGAATATTCCTGGATGATGGAAGGAATCTGGAA